CCAATGTGAAAATCCTCAGTAAAATACTGGCAAACTGAATCTAGCAGTGCATCGAAAAGCTTACCCACCACGATCAACTCAGCTTCATCACTGGGAAGGAAGGCTGGTTCAACATATGCACATCAATAACAGAATCCATCGCATAAACAGAACCAATGACAAAATCCACACGATTATCTCAATTCATACAGAAAAGGCATTCGATAAAATTCAACACCCTTTATGCTAAAAACTCTCAATAAACTAGATATTGATGGAACATGTCTCAAAATAATAAGAGCTATTTACGGCAAACCCACAGCCAGTATCATACTGAATGGGCAAAAGCTGGAAGCATTCACTTTGAAAACCGGCACAAGACAACGATGCCCTCTGTCACCACTCCTATTCAACTTAGTATTGGAAGTTCTGGCCAAGGCAATCGGACAAGAAAAAAAAAAAAATAAAGGGTATTCAAATAGGAAGAGAGAAAGTCAAATCGTCTCTGTTTGCGGATGACATGATTGTATATTTAATAGATCCCATCGTCTCAGCCCAAAATCTCCTTAAGCTCATAAGCAACTTCAGCAAAGTCTCAGGATACAAAAATCCATGTGCAAAAATCACAGACATTTCTATACACCAATAACAGAGAGCCAAATCATGATGAACTCCCATTCACAATTGCTACAAAGAGAATAAAATATCTAGGAATACAATTTGCAAGGGACGTGAAGGACCTCTTCAAGGAGAACTATAAACCACTGCTCAAGACAATGAGAGGACACAAACAAATGGAAAAACATTCCAGGCTCATGTTAGGAAGAGTCAGTATCATGAAAACGGCCATAATGCCCAAGTAATTATATTAGTGCTATCCCCATCAAGCTACAATGGACTTTCCTCACATAATTAGAAAAAACTACTTTACATTTCATATGAAACCAAAAAGGAGCCCATATAGCCAAGACAATCCTAAGCAAAAAGAACAAAGCTGGAGGCATCATGCTGACTGACTTCAAACTATACTAAAAGGCTACAGTAACAAAAACAGCATGGTACTGGTGCCAAAACAGAGGCCTCAGAAGTAATGCCACACATCTACAACCATCTGATGGTTGAAAAACCTGACATAAACAAGCAATGGGGAAAAGATTCCCTATGTAATAAATGGTATTAGGAATACTGGTTAGCCATCTGCAGACAAATGACCCTGGACACCCCTTTTTTTTTTAACACGTTATACACAAATTAAGATAAAGACTTACACATAACACCTAAAACCTTAAAATCCCTGAAGAAAACCTAGGCAATACCATTCAAGACATAGGCATGGGCAAAGACTTCAGGACTAAAACACCACACACAATGGCAACAAAAGCCAAAATTGACAGATGGGATCTAATTAAAGAGTTTCTGCACAGCAAAAGAAGCTATCATTAGAGTGAAATGGTAACCTACAGAATGGGAGAAAAATTTTGCAATCTATCCATCTGACAAAGGACTAATATCCAGAATCTACAAAGAATTTAAACAAATTTACAAGAAAAAAAGGAACCCCATCAAAAAGTGGGTGAATGATATGAACAGACAGTTCTTAAAAGAAGACATTTATGCAGCCAACAAACATGAAAAACTCATAACTGGTCATTAGAGAAATGCAAACCAAAACTACAATGAGATTCCATCTCATGCAAGTTAGAATGGCAATCATTAAAAAGTCAGTAGAAAACAGATGCTGGAGAGGATGTGGAGAAATAGGAATGCTTTTACAGTGTTGGTGGGAGAGTAAATTAGTTCAACCATTGTGGAAGACAGTGTGGCAATTCCTCAAGGATCTAGAAATACCATTTGGCCCAGCAATCCCATTACTGGGTATATACCCAAAGGATTATAAATCATTCTATTATAAAGACACATGCACATGTATATATATTGCAGCATTATTCTCAATAGCAAAGACTTGGAACCAACCTAAATGTCCATCAATGATAGACTGGATAAAGAAAATGTGGCACATATACCCTATGAAATACTATGCAGTCTTAAAAAATGAGTTCATGTTCTTTGCAGGGACATGGATGAAACTGAAAACTATCATTCTTAGTAAACTAACACAAGAACAGAAAACCAAACAACACACATTTTCACTCATAAGTGGGAGTTGAACAATGAGAACACATGGACACAGGGAAGGGAACATCACATGCCTGGGCCTGTTGGTGGGTGGGGGAATAGCATTAGGAGAAACGCCTAATGTAGATGACAGTTTGATGGCTGCAGTAAACCAGCATGGCACGTGTATACCTATGTAACGAACCTGCACGTTCTGCACATGTATTCCAGAACTTAAGAGGACTCAGACTTTTATATATATACTTTAAGTATTAGTCATTTACTAATTACTACACTATTTAGAAGTGGAAGTTACCAAGAGATACATTTCCATCATTTTGTGAGAAGAGAGGCAGAATACTAGGGAGATATCACAGAAGTCACACCTGGAGAATAAGAACGTTTTAATGGGTGCTTTGCACTGTGCTAAGTGGCTTGAAGTTCACATACCTCATCTAATCCGTGGTTCCCATGACTGTGCAGCTCCATCATCCATGGAAATAAATGGATGATGGACCTTCACAGTCATCACTGTCTACCTGTGTCAACCCACTACCCAGTAGACAAATCGATTCCTTAGGCTTTGAGTTAGTTAGAGCTAGGCAAGTGGCATTTTTTAAAGCTGCACAAGTGATTCTGAGTTATCATCAGGCTTGGGATTTGCTTAATTTTTACAACTCCTGATGTAGGAATATCACCCCATCTTCTGTAGAAGGCAAGAGTGACATTCATGTTTGACTGATCAGGAGGCTAGAACATGGACCTATCATTTCTGGTTTCTTGATTTTTCCATTTAACACAATGGCTTCTCTGAAGGGTTGAAGTCTTAGGTTTTGAGTAGATAACCATAGGACTTGTATCCCACTTTATCCTCTGAGTGATTGGTCCAAAAGAAACCAAGGAGTCTACTTCCTGTCCACAGGGTAATTTGCATTCCAGTGGCTTTAATTCTGGCTAGTTGTGTGATAGTGGGCATGCTACCTTGCTAAGCTTTCATTTCCCTATTTGTATAGTGGGAATGAAAAACAGTATCTCAAATTGAATTTGAATATTCAATAAGGAAGTATACATAAGGTACTTAAAATAGTATTTGGCACCCAGTTGGTACCCATCTATATGCTAGTACTTTTAACCATATTTATGGCAACTAATAGTTTCCTCTTGTCTAGACAATGGCATTTGTCCTATTCTCTTCTTTGTCTTTTTCTTTAAACAAAAGAATGTGGTGATTGGGAAGAAGGCACTAGATGTCAGATAGAGTCAAAGACTGTAATGAATCTTGCAGAATCTCTCTTGTACACAGTAAACGATGTCTAATTTCTGTGTAAAGGGCTCAGGATGGAAATCAGGTTAAAACAGGAAACTTAATCTTAAAGCTGCACTTGCCTATGTCTATTAAACCCTTTATTTTTTCTTAGACAGTGTTCTAAGTGGGGGTTGGGGTGGCTGATGGAGATAAATGGGGAGGTGAAATCCCCTCCCAAAGTTGCCTCTTGGTGACACCACAACTTAAGCATCACACTTTACCTTGGCCTCACTTGGATAAACAGATGCCTCTGGTGTAATTTTGCGAGCTGCTAGACACCAACAAGTACATTTATCACTTGAATGGCAAGCTTCAGTGTTAGAGTTGCTCTATTTATACATTGCTTTGCAGACAATCCTGATGCCTTTACATAATTGGTGAGCTCCACTAGATCAGCAAACAAGTAAACAGGATGGCAAACAATATTCTCTTTTCCACACAGGCTTATGATGAATTCTCAAACCAGCTTTGCTTCCAATTCGTCTGGATAACTTACCTGTTTTACATTACATGAGGTAGCAGTTGGTTTTATCACTTTCCCTCTCAAAGTCAGGCCTTGCTATGACAGCCACTTCACAAGCACAGGGGAGCCTGCTGGGCAATGGGAAGGGCAAAGGATGGCAAATTGGTCTGGTTCCATTCTTGCAATGTAATCACCCAAACTTAGCCTTGCTGAATTTGTTCAGTTTCTCTAATTAATGCTCCAAGGCTCAAGAGAAGCTGGAGGTTTGGGTGTATTACATGGCATGTATATTCATTGTGCTGCAAACTTCCATGATTTCTTGGGTCAGCATTGTGATCCAGAAGAAATTATAATGAATGTTTGGAAATGTATAGACTGCATGTAGGAATCATGCATCTGCTTAGGCACAGGGAAAGTCTAGAATGCCAAGGCACTTGAGAAAAATCTGGCTTCTATAGATAGATCTTACAGATCTTGCCTCTAAATCCTTCCTCTACAAAGGAGTCCACTACAGTCACTCAGGATTCTGGAAAGGGTCTGGATTCTTCTACCCTGCTCCCTTCCACTCTAGGGGCAGAAGAGAAGAGCCAACAGTGTAGGTATTAGACAGACTTATAGTTTGTTTCCTTCTGAGACAAAGGGGAGGTGTCTTTGACTAATGTGTACACACGTGAATGTCCATAAGAGTAGCAAATGCAGGCATCCAACTGCTACTGAATGATCTAAAAGATTACTTGGTAGTTTTTAGTATAATCCTGATATTAGTTAATGGAAGTACCATTAATGAGCATCTATTAATAGAAGGTAAGTGTAGTCACACTGCTAATTTAATGGCCTGGAGGTATAAAAAAACATGACAAAACAAATTTAATACTGTTCTGTGTCATTATAGCTCTCCTGAAAAACACAGAGCTAGAAAAATGATCACAACTAAAAGACATTTTTTAACAACAGGTGCATTACTTGATGGGGCTCACCATCAAGTTTTAAGTGGGGTAATGGGCAGTAATACTTTTAGACCCTCTTTCTCTATGGGATTTTCTTAATTATTCTGGCTGGGTGTCAAAAGTTCTGATCTTATAACTCTTTATTTTCAGGTCTGACCACACTGTGGACAGCATGGCAGCTTCCGTGACCCACACGCATACCTCTGGAATGCCTTCTGGAATTAGAAAACCTGAATCAACTGGAAAGCGGAAGAATGATCAACCCCTGTGGCACCTAACTAACCTGAGACATTCTTCTGTTGTTTTTTATTCTGGCCTCAATTGACAAGGCCATTGGACCCTGTAACTGACCTTGGTCAACCTCGTGACTCCCGACCCTGTGACCCCTTCCCAGCTTGCAAAAGCCCACCCTAAGCTGTAACTTCTGTAACTTTCCACTGCCTACCCCAAACCTTAAAACCAACCCCTATCCCTCCGCTGATTCTCTTTTCGGACTCAGCCTACCCACACCCAGGTGAATAAACAGCCATGCTGCGCACACCAACCCTGTTTGGGGGGTGTCTTCATTCAGAGTGCACATTCTACCATTTATATAATAAGAAACTCTTATCTTTAATATAAGTTTGTACTTCTTTATGGCTCTTTGTTTTGTGGGTTAATGTAGTCTCCATAGTAAAATTATTTTCAACTAGAAAACAGGGGTCCTATCTATTATAGTATTTCCCTACTCTTTCTTTCCCACCACTCTAGCTTGAGCTTGAATGAGTACCATACTCTGTGATCTCACAGAGTGTTCTGTTTTCCTTTATATCCTAGTCATAGCATATGCAAATAACCACATCATTTTTCAGGGACATTGGGGGAGCTGAAGGCCATTATCCTTAACAAACTAACATAGGAACAGAAAACCAAATACTACATGTTCTCATTTACACGTGGGAGCTAAATGATTAGATCACATAGATGCAGGGAGGGGAACAACACACACTGGCGTCTTTTGGAGGGTGGGAGGAGGGAGAGGTTCAGAAAGAAGCATTGATACTAGGTTTAATACCTAAGTGATGAAATAATCTGTACAGCAACCGCCATGACATAATTTATCTAGGTAACAAACCTGCACTTGTAGCCCTAAACTTAAAAGTTTAATAATAAATCTCCTTGATGAAGTTCTTTGGAATTAGGGGTTATGCCTTTTTGTCTCTAATTCCATACACCCAGCACTAAAGCACTAAACCATGACAGGGCAGTGCTATATATTATGAAAAACGAGTTGGGTGTGTTGTTTAGATTGTTTGTTCCTGTATCTTAGGAGAAACTCAGAGAACAATGAGCTGCTCCCTGCCTTCAAAGGGCTTCAAGTCTAGAAACAATTATTACCCACGTTTTACATACATAAAATTCAGATTGTGCTGATGAATGAATACTCACAAGTGGAAATGTAATGAGAATATTCATAATGTGAGCTTAAATGTACTTTTTTTCTAATGCAATTATTTAATTAAAAAACAATTTTCCTTGATAACTGGCTGTCATCAGTCCAAGTGTTGACAAAGTCCTGTTCACTGCTATGGAATATAGAACTATGCACATCAGTGATTCAATATATTTTCATAACAGGATAAAGGTTATCCAAGCCTCGACATCATATACATAATATTTTTCCCGTCCTGCAGTAGACATTAAGTATTCCTATGCAAAGATCACATACACACCAAACAAGAATCAAATATGCTTATGTGAGAATTGTTATACTTAAAGCATCATAGATAGATTTAGTTTTCATGTTTAGGACTACACGATGATGTAGAAAAGGCTATGGAAATGCTGCTGTCTACACTGGCATGACATTGGAATTAAAGCCAACTGGAGGCAGCTGCAGCTGCCTCCAAAACAAAGCTGGGGAATTCAACAGCAGAAGCCAACGGCTGCAGCCAAACTCCCACAGTGGCGAAGGCCCTGCTGTGGGACCTGGCATAGGCAGTCATGCGTTGGCATCAGTGAACTTCATTTAATGAAAAGACCCCTAGGTCTTCCTTGTGGGCCAACTCCATTATTGCTGTATTCTAGTACTCATTAAAGGTTTGGGTGACAGGGAGCTTTTCCACGCAGCTATCCGCTGCCATCTATGCTGAATGCAGAAATGGTGGGTGAGCCTCAAAGAGGTTTAAAATCAACCTCTTTTAATGCACAAATAGTCAAGTTACTAGAGTTTATCACCAACCCAAGGTGAGGAATCAGGGGCAGAGCAGGGTGGAATCAAGCTATAGTTATTGTCAGAGATATTTACAGAATGTTTTGGTTATATGGAAGGTGTTCCCTTTACAGCTCCTCTTGCAAATAACATATGCTGCTATATTGCCTCTTTTTATTAACCATAAGAAGAAAGGAAAATCAAGCATAACCTTTTCACATACTCAAGCCATCATTATGGTTAATTTCATAATGGTTACATGCAGTGCCAAAATGTTCACATGCTAGCAAATTATTTTACACACAATCTAATAACCATAACCATAAAGCTGAACTGATTTTCTATCTTTCATTTTGACCATGTCCCTAAAAGCTGTTTACCTGGCTGCTGATCACAGGTAAATTGAATTGGTTCCTTAACAAAGGGATAAAACTTGAGTGGAAAAGGTACCAGTTAGAGATACCAAATGGTCTATGGCTCTACTAAGTTGCATGAATACTATTTTCACAATTGTAATGATAAAAAATAGAAAAATGAAAATGCCACTGTTTAGCAGAAATATATTTTCCTATAAATATTCGTAATTACAGATACCAATCACAACTTGGGAATAAATTAAACAGAGAAAACACTTCAAAAAACCTGTTTTTAGAGAATCTCTTTAATTCTTTCCCATAGAACTTGTCCTTGGATGAAACTCTCTTCTGTGTTATCTGTGCAGCTACAAAAGTTTATTTGTTCAGTCAATCAAGAGCTGATATTGTTTGCAAGACTCTCCAGTGACAAATCTCCTAACAAGTCCTTATAGCTCTTCATATTTTCAGAACACCACATCAGTGTTGTGAATGTGCATCATCTCCATGTCCTTTCCTGGAAGGGTTCATTGTGATCCTCCCAGCATAACCTAACAACTACACTTTTCTGGAAATGCTTCTGGAACTAGCCTGGCAAAATCTGTGTTCTGTATCTTATATATACATTACTTTTGGCCTCCTTGTATTGTGCGTTTGGTTCTTTAAAGGACAGTTATACACATGTAAAAAAGTATTAGGCAAAAGTGTATAGGTTAAAGATATAGGGTGTACACCTAAGACAGTCTAGTTACTGACGATTATAACATCAGTAGCAAAAGCTATGTTAAGTTCACGTTTTCTGTGATGGAATCACATACATTTTATGTTGTTGTTGTTCTTCTGTAAAAGACCTTAGAGATCCACTAATCCAAAACTCTTATTCAAATTTGAAACTGAAGTCCAGAAAGAAGAACTGATTGTTTACAAGTTACAGAGTTGGCATCAGAGCTACGGCTACAATCCATCTCTAGATCCCCACTTTGGAGCTCTTTCTTACACTCCAGGCTGAAAGGCAAGCCGTTCTATGGTAAGAAGAGTACTGGATCATAGGAAGGTCCCGCTAGTCCAGAAACATTATAGGTTTGTCTAAAGATTCTAGTTTTGCTAGGTGTCTTTTCTTCCCCTACTTTTGTTTATAGAAATCCTTGGCTCCAGAGAAACCCTGCAACACATAAGCTTCTTGCTGTTATCAGTTTTTTCATGCCTTTAACACTTCCTAGAATGCTGTGACCTTTACTACCTCATCCTAATCCCATCAGTGGTTCTTTATAACCAGCCCAGAGGATGGCTTTCGTTGTAACAGCCACACATTACACCTTAGCTCAAGCGACAAATGCCGCTTAGATCTACAAGGTAAAATAAAATAAACACTTGCCTTCACTTGTTCCAAAATCTTCATTCAACAAATGAGACAATTATGACTTTCTAGATCAACTCGTACTTAACCACTACAAAGGATATACGTGGTAGGCGCATGCACATTATAAATAGTTCAGAGAATAAAAAATGTTACTATATGATTGTTCAGTTTTTCTTTAAAACTATAACTGACTATTGACTATCATTTAGAATTAATGAACATACATAGATATTTATATAAAATTTAATGTGAAATGTAAGCAAATCAAGTTCTGCTCTATACCATATTTTCTTACAGCTTACAAGAACCAAAACTAAACATACTTTCATAAACAGATTACTATGATGGCTCTGTTCATTCTGCATTGGAAAGAGCCACTTTGCCATTTGTTGAAAACTTGCCTCATATGGGAGGGAGTTTTCCACATGGAGATAGCTGCTGCCATCTATGTGGAAGGCAGAAAAAGTGGGTGTGGTTGGAAACAAGCTTGACACAAATAGTCAAGTGTCTAGACTTTATCATCAAACCGAGCAGTATGTTGGAAATGAAGCCCAGTCTTTAGTGACCTGCCACCTCTCCTAGGCCTTGCTTGATTCTCTGAACGGTACTCAATGCTTCTAAAATCGTCCTGGCCTGCTTTGTCTTAAGGCATAAGATAAGGAATGCTCAGTTTCCAGAAGACTGAGAAATGCCACTTGCACGAGAGGTGCTGGTTCTTGGCATAGTTATTTTCTGAGCTGAAATAGGAGCCATGACAAGCAGAGAACTAAAATGGAGTTGAATTCTGAAGAGTGTAATATACGTATGCACATACGTCAGACATGGAAAATGTGCACGGTACTTTTGGCATTCACATCTAATTGTTTGGGGAGATACCTGATCCACATCTACAGGTCATTTGGGTTGCTCAGAATTTCAAATCTTCCCATTTAATTTCTATAGGTAATACTTTGGAGGGTGGCTGCCCATTTCTCTCAAAATGGCTACATCTAGTTGCCCTCTTTTCACCCTCTCTTTTTTATTTTCTTTAAGTCTAGGTTAAAATATTCATTCTTGTCTTCCAGAACTCACATCAAATGGGTTTTCCATCTGTCATGAATCGAGTGTTCTTACCTTCGTCTTACAATTAATTTCTCTGCAGACCTCCTTACACTGATCTCTTCCCTTGAGCTTTGGACAATTATATTCTCTCATCTCTTTCACATAAATCTAACTTGGAAGACAAACCCCTCAGGTTAAGCTGCTGTCCGGTGTGTATTTTTCATTAAGAAGTAGCAATACCTACATCAATAGTAGGTGTTTCTCCTTTATCTTCACCTATGTAAGCAACTTACTTTGGGAGCCTATTTTATTTTTTCACCATTCTCATTTGAATGAATCTAGCCTAGGTTAGGGCCACTGGAACCAAGCTTGGGTGTGCCTGGACTGGCCTGGAATACTTATAATAAAGGAGGCACTAGACTGGGAACCAGCAGTGTAAGAGCAAATAGGAGTAAGAGAAGGTTTCTGAGATGACAATCTAATAGCATGAGACTGTGTTCTAAGATAAAGCAGGCAAGGAAGATTTTAGCAGGCAATGGGTCCAGTTCAAAAACGCCAGCAAGGCCTGGGAGAGGTAGTAGGGTTATTGAAGGTCAAAGTACACAGGCTCAGGATCTAGTTAAGACTGGTTGATTTTGCCTCTGTTTTAGACTAAGAAATCTATTCAAATGGAGCTTATGGCCCTGTAACCTGGCTCTGGGAAAATGAACAAAGGAATGTGACATCACATCAGCACTGGCTTTGGAAATGGAAAACCTTAGGAGACCCTGAACATTTCAAAAAGACATTTGTGCTCTGCCTTCTTTTGAACTCCTAACTCTGGGTACCTAGGTTGTAGGAATGTAATGGAAGGCAGAAGAAATCAGAGGCACACAGGTGGGTGTGTCATCTTTCGATTGGCACATAGATGTTCTGATTACAGACAGACTGTATTTTTTTGTATTAAGAGAGATGGAGCATGTGAATATGGTACAAGTTACTATTTTTTTTTAACTTTAGTTTTTTTTTTTCAAAGGATAACAAGGTTTATACAGAGTGGTATGCCTTTCGAATGGCGTCTATTTACACAAAGAGATTAGGGATTAGGGGAGGATAGGGAAGGGAATTAGACCTACATTCTCACAGTGAATGGCCTTTGTGGAAGCAGTACTAATAACTTTCCATTACTGTCCAACTTTGTCTTCTGTTTCTTACTGGCAATATTCCCCAAGCTAGAGCTATGCAGTCAGTCCTCTATATTCCTTAAATCTGCATTTATAGTCTATTATAAAGTTACATATGAGTTTCTAGTATATAGATTAAGTATTCTGCAAATTTATTTTTATACATTTTTTTTTCATCTGGAGGAAAGTAATGTATACCATTACATATAGAAGCCATTTTCCCCTAAAAGTAACAATGTAGGTGCTTGGATGTTATTTGCAGTAAAATTTGCCTTTATAGGGATAACTGCAGTCACCTTTTAAATGAACGTATGCATATACCAGGACTTGCACCTGTTATTGTTGTCATGGAGACAGTTCCAACACATAAGATACAATTCTATTATTGAGGTAATATAGTTTCCCAAATGAATTTTAATGAAATTGTAGCAGAAAAACAAAAAGAATTTTATGGAGGCTTCTAAATTTTCTAGTGAAGTTTGCCAACTAGAATATGACTACATCATACAATAGTAATCTTCATCTAAAAAGGAAACAACAGTCAGCAAATGTCAAGCTTGCAAAAAGAGGCATAAAATAGGTTTATTTGAAAGTGAACACTGTGCCCCAATTCTAGCTTTTTAGTGCTTATCTTTAATATTGCCCAATTACTGCTCCTACTGTTGATGGAAGTATATTTGACCATCAGCAGTCTGAATGGCACATACCAAGATCACTGAGTTATCTGGAGATATTTTCTGATTTCTGTCATCTTTAGGCTTTCTACTGATATGAGGTAAACAGATTTAAGTCTATAATGTTTTAAGAGCTAAGAGACCTAAAGGACCTGTATTTCAACCCATTGAACTACAAATTAAGGAACCAATGCCTAAAAATGTTAGGTGATTTGTCTGAGGCACCCAAGTAAATGAGGTGGGGCTGCACTGCAGCGTGGTTTTTGGCTCTCTTCCCCCCATGCACAGTCACTGTGCTGCCTTGTGAACTACAGCCTTCTCTGCTGCTGGTTAAAGGTGGTGCATTATTTCCTGAAGGAAAGAAATCAAGTTCTGAATTTGAATATCTGAACTTTGATTGCCTACTTGCATTGTCACGGGAGTCAAGTACAATTTGCTAAATAAAACACAATTTCAGAAGCCTCCTTAAAGTAGGTATCTCTTCATTAAATATGTTGATTACATGTAGATGACTACTTTTACCCATGGAAAATGAACTAATATCTTAGGTTTGTAAAAGAAGAGTAAGTTTTCTCGATCTGTAACCATTACTTCACCTCTTCTGTACTCTGAAGTCATATGAATCAAACATCCCAAGCTCATAAGGAAGCCAACTGTGAAACCAGTGCTTACCTCCAAGTCAAGGGCCTGGGAAACATCTATGGAGCTTAGCTTAAAGTTATCCGATGATGAATTAGGAATCCAGTATATCATTCTGTGCACACAGTTATGGCATAATATTGGGTGGAAAGGAAGCCTTCGCTGTTATAAAATATGAGTGGGAAATGATTATCCCTAGATAGAGAGTACTTATTATGTAACTCTTGCTGAGGCTTGACGACATGGCAGGCTCTGTGCCGAGTCAAGTCTCTGGTGGAGCGGAGCATTCCCCAGGCTCTAGAAGGTCCCCGAGACAGTGTGTCATACAGTGATGATGGGTAGAAAATACTCTAACCGTTCGGGATGTGATTGTTTTGGCTTCCTCTCGGCTGAGCTTTTGGCACTTGAACTGGACCCAATGCAACATCACAGCTGGGATATGACATGATTTGAATTAAACTCCACTGTAATATTAGAGATAGAAAAAAAAATCCTGCTATATCCAGCAAGTCCCAGAGGGGCTATGTCTCTATTGTTCACGTGTTTGCACATGAATGTGCATTTATGAACACTTTTTGTATAAATATGCTGATATGTAAGATATGCAAAGCCATATAAATCTGTATTACTAAAATAATTTATTCCATAAATATTTCTTGAGCATTCATTATTTACCAAGCAAATTTTTCTAGTTTAACAGTGAAGCCGGGCATGGTGGCTCCTGACTGTAGTCCCAGCTACTTAGGAGGCTGAGGCAGGAGGATTGCATGAACCCAGGAATTCAAAGCTGCAGTGATCCATGATCATGCCATTGCACTCCAGCCTGGGTGGCAGAATGATACCTTGACTCAAAAAAAAAAATTGGCCCACATGTACATTTGTCACTTTTAAAACACAGATAATAAATTTCTTCCTTGATTTCTTAAAGAACTTAAAGCAGAGGGACTATTCAACTCGGCAATCCCATTGTTGGGTACATACCCAAAGGAAAATGAATCATTTTACGAAAAAGGCACATGCCCTTGCATGTTCATCACTGTGCCATTCACAATAGCAAAGGCATGGAATCAACTTAGGTGCCCATCAACGGTGGGCTGGATAAAGATAATGTGTTATATATACACCATGGAATATTACACAGCCATAAAAAAGAACAAAATCATGTTTTTGGCAGCAATATGGATGCCGCTGGAGGCCATAATCCTAAGCAAATTAACACAGCAACAGAAAACCAAATACCACATGTTCTCACTTATAAATGGGAGCTAATCACTGAGGATACATGGACATAAACATGGAAACAACAGACACTCTGAACTATCTGGAATAAGGGGCATGGGTTGAAAAACTACCTTATGAGTACTGTACTCACTACCTGAGTGATGAGATCCACACCCCAAACCTCGGCATCACACAAAAAACCCATGTAACAAACCTGCACGTGTACCCTCTCTATCAAAAATAAAAACTGAAATTTAAAAATACATAATAGCCGGGCGCGGTGGCTCAAGCCTGTAATCCCAGCACTTTGGGAGGCCGAGGCGGGTGGATCACAAGGTCAAGAGATCGAGACCATCCTGGTCAACATGGTGAAACCCCGTCTCTACTAAAAATACAAAAATTAGCTGGGCATGGTGGCGCGCGCCTGTAATCCCAGCTACTCAGGAGGCTGAGGCAGGAGAATTGCCTGAACCCGGGAGGCGGAGGTTGCGGTGAGCCGAGATCGCGCCATTGCACTCCAGCCTGGGTAACAAGAGCGAAACTCCGTCTCAAAAAAAAAATAAATAAATAAAAAATAAAAAAAATAAAAATACATAATAAATGAATTCCTTCCTCACAGGTATTAAAAAGCACAACATGAGTAAAGTACCTGATGTGTCAGCGTAAGTACCTGTCTCCCTTTGACCTTTTCTTTGCTCTCCTCTAACTTTGAGGTACGAATAATCTTTCTGTCTTTTTCAAATTCTGCAGGAAGTGTGTGAAGGCGATCCATCTAATCCCGATTCGGAGTCTGCGGCAGACACCCATACTGAGTCCTCTACTTTAGAGAAGAACCCCACAGACTTTGAGAGTGACCTGTCACCCGTCATAACCCCTAAGGACTATGAGCTTTTTCGCCATAAGCATTGGCTGTTTGTGCCAATCTAGTAAGACCAGACTGATTAATAGACAGACAGAAAAATAAACAGATACGAGTTTATTTTTCTTATTCTCAAAACAGTATATTTATGTTGTTGAATATTGGGATAAAATATTAAAAATAGAAAATAGTAATTATGCATAATTCCTAATCCAATCACTGCTCCATTCAATAATTTGGTCTATTTCCTATAGTTTGCTACTAACTTTGGGGCAGACCTCCAAAACATAAATGTAATGGGGCTATGATGTCTCAATTTTGACTATATTGTTATATAAAGTGGTAATGCCTTACAACTTAATTGTGAGAAGGGGGTGGGTGGGTGTGTGTGTGTGTGTGTGTGTGTGTGTGTGTGTGTGAAAGAGAGAGAGAGAGAGGAGAGAGAGAGAGGGAGGGAGGGAGAAACAGAGAGATAGAGAGAGAATATATGAAGAAGAGAATACTTAGAACTGTGTCCACTAGAATTTTGCCACAGGCCAGAGTGAAAACATCAAAGATACTTAAGTAAGCCAGTCTAGCTCTTTGTGAATATAATTTTGGAAAACAAACTAAAACATCAAGATAAAAGGTCCCCATTTCATCTCATATTTGCAAATAAGGCTTATTTCATGAATGGTGAAATCGCTTTGTACAATTTATAACCTTATTGTTGTACTGGCTTGCCTGCCATGCTGCCTGTGTTTATGTTGCTTCTCCCTATGGCATGTGCTCTGAGCAGACAAGGGTATAATTATAAATCTCCATCCACAAACAAGAACAATGGTTGCACCCAGCAATTTGACTCTCCCTTTGTGCAGCTCTACATGGATACCATTTTGAATGTCAAAGTTCTATGAATGTCAGAGAAACAGCTGCCACCAGTTCTTTGCATTAGCCACCTCTTTCAACATTTACTCATGATATTGCCTTATCCATCCAGGAAGAAGCAAACCAAAACCCAGAGATTTTAAAACATGTTATCTATAATTACAAGAAATAACAAGAAACCGAAGAGGACTACAAATACAACCCTGACGTGTGTTTCAAGACTTTCTGGACTTGCTTAGAAAAAAAAGAGACTAAATTTTTGTCTCTGGGCAAAGTTAGCCAGAGGAGAAAGAGAAACTTCACAGTCAAGGTATGCTTTGTGCTATCTCCATTTTTATAAAGGCAAGGTTAATGAGGCGTTGATCTTTATTCCATGGTTGTTAAGATCATTTTCCTAAATCTGAGATCGTTGCAGAGATATACAAGGTAGCATGCCAAATCATTCGTTCATTCCTTCACCAAACATGGATACAAGTGCCTACTGAATATCCAGTAAAAGCAGGAGTACAGACATTGAAGGCTCATTTCATGGCCCTTCGTTTCTATATAACATAGCTGTGATGCATTGAATATTAAGGAAACTCCTAAATGTTTAATTCAGAACTTACTAGAGCTATTTACAATTCATGAAAATAGAGGCCAGGTATGGTGGTTCACACGTGTAATCCCGGCACTTTGGGAGGCCAAACTGGGTGGATTGCTTGTGTCTCAGGAGTTCAAGACCAGCCTGGGCAACACGATAAAACCCTGTCTCTACCAAAAATACCAAAAAAGTAACTGGGTGTGGTAGTGAGTGTCTATGGTCCCAGCTACTTGAGAGGCTGAGGTGGGAGGATCACTTGAGCCTAGGAGATATAGGTTGTAGTGAGCCAAGATTACCCTACTGCACTCCAGCCTGACAAAGTGAGACCCTGTCTCAAAAAAGAAAAGATAAAAGAAAAGAAAGATTTCTCAAATCTAAGTTTAGTATTTTTAAAAAAAGTAACATCATGGCTGTGAGCTTGATTTCACCTCTGTTTTAGACTAAGAGATCTATTCAAATGGAGCCTATGGCCCTGTAACCTGGCTCTGGGAAAATGAACAAAGGAATGCAACATCACATCAGCACTGTATATTTTTGGAAGGGTATTGCATTTCTCCTTTGTGGTGGTTTGGTCTGTGCACTTGAAAATACATTCACAGTGGGAAGGCATCAACTCTGCTGCACATTTATAGTTGAATCTATTTTTTTTCCTGACAAATATTCAAGTGAGGGAGGAATTCCATGTGAATGCTCTAGTGCCTCCCTCCCTCTGATGAGTCTAAGTGCTGGATAAACAAACATTATTTCTAAAACCTCAAGGGGAATACTTGAAACTGGAGCAATGTAAAAGGAAAGCGGCTAGAATGGATAGCTTCTAGGCAGACTGTGACATTTCTGAGTCATTACGGAGGGGTCTAGGGTCTGGGGGACAACACTCCACCAGCAGCCCTTTTGATATTAAAAAACAAAAATGAACATTTGAGCAGTTTAAAGGAAAGGGCTGTGAAAACGCAGATGCTGGCCTTACATTCTAACCAGATCACCTCCTTTAAGCTTTCCTATATAGAAATTTTGAACCTTCCTGATATCTCCTCACTAGGGGGTTAGGAATTAAGTAAATGCCTTGGACTCTTGGTTTGGTGGTGGGGGATGGATTTTGAAAGCGTCGGTGCACATGAAGCCACCCATGGGCTAACAGCCATCGTTTACTGAGTATCTACTAAGTGAGAGTCTCCTTCCGAGCTTTTCCACTTCTATTATCTCTCTAAATTTCCCAACAAAGCTAAGGTAATGACAGCCTTTCCTGCTGACCTGTGAAGCCCAGGTTGGGAGTTGTCTGATGACTCTTCCTGTATAATCTCACCCCAAGGGAAGACATTACTCTGATTTTTCCACCTCATGTTTTTCCCTGGCAATTGCTGTGAGAGAATGTTGTTTTTGGAGTTGAGTAGGCAAGTGGTGTTCATGATATGAAAAACCAAAAAAAATAAAAATAAAAAAACCCACCAAATCCACAAACCTTCTGACACAAAGCCACAGAGCACTCGTCAATTTTAGCCTGTCTATTGGATATTTCTAAGTGAGAAGATCCAACCTCGGTTTTTAGCTGGGCTTTAGCTCTGTAAGAAGTGCTGTACCAGTCAGCCTTGGGGAAATCAGCAGAGGATTAATTAGAGAGCAGAGCAGCCACTAGAGGGCGCTCCTGAAATCTGGCGGTTTCTTCCTCCCAAGGAAAGGGTTGCTGGAGTCCCCGCCTGACGCTGTGGGTTTGTTTAACAAAGAGAAGGAATGTCTGGGGGATAAGTCCCAGTGCACTCATTCTCTGGAAAAGGTCTGCTGTACATATTTGCCAAGTGATAAGGAACCTAGTAAATCAAGAACCATTTGAGGATTTACAGTGTTCAAAGGTAGCTTCCTGGCTCTTCAAAGAGTTATATAAATGGCTATGTTAAAAATAGGCAGCAAATACAACTAAGCAACCTGAAATGGCCGAGGATATGCACCATATGTGATAGCCATGAAAATAATCAAAAGAAGAATTGAGTATAAATTAATAATCATTCCTACTCCAATTGACTCTGTCTTATGGAAATGGCACATAAGAGAGGCTTGGAATTCTATTCTTTGTGCTGTTCTAAGTACAGATCTCTCTCTCCCTAATGGAACCCAGCTCTTTAGTTTGGGAGCCTATACCTAATCTCTCTAATATCCCTCTCCAGCTCTCAACATATACTATGTAGTCACACTGAATGTCTGTTAAGAAATATGTTCAAGTCATTATTTTCCTTATGACAAAATTCACGGTAAAAGACCAAGTATCCACAAGAAGAAGAATGTGCAAATCTAAAGTGGGTTAGTGGCATTTTCTCAGGACAAAGTGCGTGGGAGGACAACACAGCAATCCCGGAATTTGACTGGGTAAAACTTTTTCACGCTCTGACTCTGTACTATATATGTACCTGTTTGCTTCTGCTTTGAAAAGAACTGGTAATGTACAAGATCCACTTGAACCACCGAATTTAGCAAAACAAACCAGGCAAAACCAGACATGTCTTTGCATTAATACTGTCATTTTGTTTTACAATTCTTAAAAAGTCAAATCTCATTTTTAAAAATTAATCCCTTCTCTGGATTATCTGCTGCTCTCTTGTGATGTATATTGTCAAAAACACATTTTAAAATCATGAAAAATATCCTGAGATTGACATCATGTCCAGTTTCTAAGCTACAATGAAATCTTGGAGAATGGTAAGAGATTTATACCTGAGCCTATTGAATGCTTTATATATATTATTTCATTCAAGACCCATTTCATGGATGAGGAAACTGATGTTTACATAAGTCAAGGAGCTTGACCCAGGTTACATAGTTAGAAGTAGCTGAGCTAGGATTCCACAGGTCCATCTCAGCAACCTATGATTTTAATCATTATACCATGTGACCTGTTTTGGACTAGTTCCAAAAAATAGCTTTTCCATTAACCTCTTTTCTTTTAAAAGTGTTCATAGGTTTTAATTGCTTCTTTTTCTGCTTAGGCAATACTTAATTTTTAAACTGTGCACATAGAAGTTGAAAGGGAAAAACACGTATTCCAGATGTAGGTTTTATAGTTACACATCTTGGTTATGGGTGGTTACACACACGCGACAAGCATGTG